GCTGGCTCCCACTTGCTCAGCCCCGGCAGCCTCTGCTCTCTTCTCTGCAAGGCCAGGCAGAGCCCGGCCTCCTTTTCTTGAACCCCAGCACTGCAGCCAGACTGTCCTCTGCCGCTGGGAATGTCAGGGGAGCCCACAGCCACTCTCGGGCCCCGAGGACCTGCCCACCCCCGTGGGATCTCCTCTGGAGACTAGTTCTTCCCAGCCGGCAGGGCCCAACGCCCCCTCCTCCCACCCTGCACCCGGAGCCCAGAAGTCAGCAGCATCTCGGCTCACAGCACAGGGCTCAGCTCCCCTTCCTGGGCAGCCCGACTCCCGAGGGGTGTTCAGCTCCTCCCCAGAAAGCCCAGCTTCTGTTTGGGGACCCCTCCCGGTGGGGACCTCAGGGCCCCTGCTCGGCAGGCAGGTCCCCGCCCTCTGGGTGGGAGCAGCTTGCTTTTCCTCGGGGTCTCCTTTTCCTTGCTGGTTTCTGTGGGTACCCCAAGCCCTCATAGGGATCCTGGGACCCTTACGGGGTCTCAGGTCAGAGGGTCTAGATTGTTTTTCTCTTCTAAAGACCAGTGTCAGGCGCGACACCCTCCCTTGAGGTTCCAGGCAGATTCAGATTCTCCTTCGTCATCAGTCATCAGCGGGTGGCGACTGAGCCCCTCACCCCCTAGAGGCCCGGGTCCCTCCGCCCCCGCCCCAGGGCCCGCTCAGCTCCGCCTGGCAGTCCCGAGCCGTCGGCGCCAGTGCCAGGATGATGTGGTCTAACTTCTTCATGCAAGAGGAGGAGCGGCGGCGCGGAGCGGCGAGCCGGCGGCGCGCGCAGGGGCCCAGGTCCGGGCTGACGCCGGAGCGCGAGGGCAGGATCAAGCTGGGGCTGCTGCTCACCTCGGTGGGCGCCACGCTGGCCGTGCTGGCCGTGGGCACCGAGTTCTGGGTGGAGTTCAACACGTTCAAGGGCAACAGCAGCGCCGTCTGTGACGCCGCGCACCTGGGGCTGTGGAAGGTTTGCACCAAGCGCCTGTGGCTGGCGGACGTGGCCGCCGGCAGAGACACCTGCGGTCCCGCGGAGCTGCCCGGAGGTGAGAGGCCCCGTCGCCCCGTGCGCGTGCCCAGGGCCAGCCGCAGCCAGAAGGGCCGTGCCGAGAAAACTCGGGGAGAAAGGGCACCCTCAGGGTGAGCCCTGGCCTGAGGGGGTGCGCACAAAAGCCCACTGCTCCCCAGGAAAGTTTCTGCCCCCGCTTACAACCGGGGCGGTGCAGGGAGGGGGTGGGGGCGTGGCTGGGGAGGGACTGGAGAGAAAGCGTGTGTCCCCAAACCAAGCTGTGAGCTAAAACCATCGTGTACCCCCAAATCACCCTGTACTCCTCAGTCCAAAGACCAGCCGGCACCCCTGGGCCAGCCTGCTCCCCCAGACCAGCTTGTTCTCCCAATTAACCTCTGTCTCCAAGTCAGCCTATCCCCCACGCCAGTCTATAACCTTAGACGAGTCTGTTCCCCCAAACCAACCTGTACCCCTATTTAACCCTGTACTTCTAGATCAGCTCGTGCCTCATTTTATATTCCGGCCAGGTCTCTGACCAGAGACCACTTATACTGCCAGGCCAGCCTGAATCCCTTTGCTCCCCCAAACCGACCTATACCCCAGGCCAGCCTGTGCCCCCGGGTCATCAACCCCTGACCCTTGGCACAGCCTGCACCCCCAAAAGAGTCTGTATCGCTAGAGAAATCTTGCGATCTGCCCCCACAGATAGCTTGTGCCCGCAGACCCAGCCTGCGGCTCCAGACACCGCTGCGCCTTGACAGCTGCGTCCCCCGGAAACGCCCGCCTCCCCGAGACAGCCGGCGCCCTAGGGCGGCAGGCTGGGCTCCCGAGCTGGTGCACTCCTTCCTGCAGGCCTCGGGGAGACAGACCGCCTTGCCGCCCACCCCGAGTAGACTCTTGTTCTGTCTTGTCCCACCTACTGGTTCCGCCAGGCAGATTCCGCACTGACTACCTCCCAGCACCCCGACCGTCCTCAGGCCTCCCGGGAAATGTTCTTCTTTCTCTCTCTTCTAACTTCTAAACACCCATGCCGGGCCCTCCAGCCCTTCTCATCCCTTCCAGACACCTCCAGACTCCTCGCTCCAACAGAGTGACACCCAGCCATGCCAGGGAGTTGCCTCTCGTTTCCCCGACACCCCGTCAGGGCGCATACAGATGCCCATGGCGCATCGCCAGCAGGGCGTGTCAGAGGACAGCCAACGAGTTTTGCTCACCCACCCGCCAGTGTCTCCTGTCCCTCTGGGCTCCGCAGAGTGTCCCTCCTCCATCTGTTTTACAACCACAGGCTCCGAAGCGAGATGCCCCAGCCCTGGAGGGCAAAGTGCGAAGCTGCGCACCCGTGTTCCGAGGGGCCACCCTCTCAGGGCCCTCTGTGACCACCTGCACACCCGCCTTCTGCAGAGGGCTCGTGCTCAGCCTCAGCAGCTCGGGCAGGACATGCCCGACCTTGTGCAGAGTGGGAGGCCTGCGATAAACTGCTAGGTGCGCCGGGAGCCCAGGAGCTGGTCTGAGGACGCACGTGGACTGCGCTCCTCTCCCCAGCCCTGAGTAGTCGCCACCCTGTTATCCAGCGGAGAAAGTGAGGCCTGAGCACAGGTGACTCAGCCCGTGCCCCCAGGGTGGCCACGGGGGCTTGAACCCTGGCACCAGTTCTTAGCAATGCCACCGCCTCCCACTAGCTCCCAGGTAGCTCCCAGATACCCGCTGCCCTGGAGAGGCTTCACCACCCCACCTCACCGCGTATGTCGGGGATCCCTTTTTGGTCTGAAAGATTTCAACCTCTTTACAGGACCATGACGGTCATCCCGCCCCCACCCCTCAGAGGACACAACTTACCACTTTCCCTCCTCGGAAATAGCCCCTCAGCCCACGGCCCAGAAGGCTGCAAGAGGGTGATACCTCCAAGGTCAGAGTTGGGGCGTCCTACAAGTCTCAGTAACCAAATGGCGTGTCTGTTACTTGCCTCCCAGAGAGATGGGACTTCGCATTCCCCTAGTGGTGAAGACCAGCGCCCACCCCAACCACGCAGAAGCACCCGTTCGGCTCGCTGCACGCTGCCTTCCTCAGGGCTGCTGCTGCAGGACTGACCCCCATGCTGCTGGGGCATTTCCAGCCCTTCTTCCTTCCTCTGGGCTGCACACTCCTCACCTGCCTGGGCCCCTCGGCCCTCGGCTCCACCTGACTCCGCCCGCGTGCTCCTCCCTATGGAAAGTTCCTTCCAACTCCCCAGGCTGCTTTGCCTCTCCTGTGTCTTTCGCGTTCTTTCCTAACCCTCTCCTCCCTCCGTGCCTCAGTTCCCCATCTGTGGAATCGGCGAGAAAGTGGGACTAGAATTCTGAGGGAGTTCTGGCTTTGAAGCACAGTAGAAAAAGAGCCTTTTTTTCTTTCAGTTTAGTGTTTCTTGGATGTCAAGCACACAAAGCTGGTGGATCACACCCTTCAGATTATGTGACAAAGTCATTACCCGCTTGGCAAGATCCTTCTTGTGCCTTATTTTATATTCTTCCTTTTTTCATTCCTTTCTAACTCATCTCTTGAATGCTCCTGATAGATATCTCTGGATGTGGATTTTAGTATGGAAAGTTGGTAGTATTATTTAATGCACGTTTTCATTTTAAAGAAAGATTCATTTATGCATACAAGAACTGGGGGACAGGCCAGAGGTGTGGGGGGTGGTGGTGAGAGGATTCCCCAGAGACAGAGTGGGGAGCAGAACAGGTGGGTTGACTGACATCCGCTGCTGAGGGGGCCGTGGGGGATGGGAGTCTGTCGCACCCTGTGGGTCACTCCCTGGCCGGGGATCGAACTCATGATGCAGGGGCTGGCGATAGCTTGATCCTGCTGTGCTCCAGCTTGCTCCCAGGGAGGGCCCCAGTGAGTGTGTGCATTTGCATAACGGACACCTTGCTATCCAGTTTCCGCCTTGTTTTGGTTTAATTCCGCTCCCCGCCCCCCACTGTTTTTCAGCTCTCTCCACAGTGCTTTGTACTTCTTGTTCGCGTTCCCCATATACCTCGAAGATTGCACAGGGAGCTTCCTCCACCTCTACTTCTCCGTTCTCCTAGAGGTGGACCCCAGGTTGATCTGGCTCCTTGTAATTGCACACAGGATGTCCACGTATATGTCCTGCCCGCGCCGGTCATGTGTGCAGAAGTGAGAAGGTTGGGTTATTCTTCATGCCATGAAGCATGGCCAAGTGTTGTCCAGAAAGACTAGGTCCAGCGCGCCCAGCTGTTTCCTCTGACCTTCCAACCTTGGCATTACCCTTTTAGTATCTGCCCATCTCACTGGCCTGAGGCAGCAGCCTGCCCTCCAGAATCGCTGGTTCTGTGGTCCCTGGTGAGGAGGCTCGCCCCTCTTTGTCCTTGGGAGTCACCCGGCTTGTTCTTCTGTGAATCCACTGTCCACGTCCTCTGCCCGTTCTTCAGCGGGGCTGCTTGTCGTTTCCTATTCACCCCTCGGAGTCCTTTGTGTGTTGCAAACAGGTCCCTTTCTGAGATGAGCATCTCTCCCAGTCTGTTAGCTCAGCTTTCCGTATCTCCGTGTCCTTTGTTGAATAAAGCAATTTTTATTTCTAATCCCACTTGACTCTCAGCAGTCCCACCTGAGGGAGCCAGTAAAGAGACTCTGATCTCATTTTATAGAGTAAGACGCAGAGCCCAAAGTCACAGATCTGGATCTGAAAACCCTGGACGGGAACCCCAGCTTCTGGAGAGCTATGCCACAGGGTGGTTTTTACTTCTGGGATGCCATTGTTCTCTCCTGCATATTGGGGATGCTAACGGCAATTTTTCAGTCTGATGTATGCCACATTAAAGGCCCAGGCCTGCGCTTGCACTAAACCCCTCCATGTCTTCACCTCTCCCCCCCTCTCTCCTGTTCCCACAGAAGCAAACTGCACCTATTTTAAATTCTTCACCAAGGGGGAGAATGCACGCATCTTCCAAAGAACCACAAAGAAAGGTGAGAAATTTCCATTCCGTGATGCTGTGGGGGTGGGCGACACGCTGGCCACGCCAGAGGCCTTGTTGATGGCGCGGCCACTGCTTTGCCTCAAGATGGGCTCAGCTCCCCTGTCCCGCAGGGCCCCTTCTTGGGTGTGGTGGGATTCTCCAGCGCCGGGGCCTGAGGCTGCCACACCAGCTCAGCCTTTGCCCACGTGGGCAAGTCACAGCTGTTTGTGGCTTGTACCCTGACATCTCGCAAATGTGCATCTGCCGCAGGCTGAGGCGGCACTAGGCATTTCGTGCACAAGCCCCAGGGCTTGGGGCTTCGCCGTAATCTTCCTGAAGAGAAAGCAGACATCCACTTCTTTCTGCAGGCAGTGGCGGGGCAGAGGCAGGATTCACACCAGAATGACGGTGTCTCCACAGTGGTGTTCTCCCGGGGGACTTTCTGTGGAAACAGGAATGTTTCTGCTGGTGCTGGCCAATATGGTAGCCCCTGGTTCCCCCTGGCTGCTAAGCAGGGCTGGTGTGACTGAGAAACTGGGCTTTGCACGGTTTATTTCAAATCCATTTAAAATCAAAAGGCCACACGGGACATTGCCTACCCGATTTGGCAACGCAGTTCTTCAGACTTTACCTTGTCTAGTCAGACCACAGCCTGACGCCTAGCACTTCGACATCTCTGCCAGTAACATGACTGTGTTCGTGTCATGAATATTACCTAGCTCCGGGAGTGTTAAGGGCAGCCCAATGAGGACTGGGCTGCCTGTCTGTGGGGCCTCACCCACACGCTGAAGATTCAGTTGGACTGCAGACACACACAAAGGTCAATAATGGGTTTATTTACGAAGGGGAAAGAAAAGGGACAACCCAGGGAAAGAGCGACAAGTTAGCTAGAGCCTCCTACCAGTTCTGCTGACTTGGAACCCCAGTAACACACTGAAGCTCATCAAGAGCCAAGCGACCACACACCAGCGAGAGGCCAAGGGAGAGAGAGAGCCCAACATGACTCCTTCACACACATCCCCAAGAGTCCCAAAATGGCTGCTTAGCTCCGCCCGTGAGTCCGCGCAGCCATCCCCTTGGTAATGCTGGGAGCGGTCCTCTCAGTGACTGGAGTGGGGTGGAGCTGCAGTTTCGATAACTGGAGTAGAGGGTGGAGTCCACAAAACCTGTATCCGCAGACTTCATTCAGGACATCCCTTCCCCACTAGTGCCTGATGCAGCTGAGACACACAGTGTGATGCTGGCCCACAGTAGGTCCTCCACAAAGTGATTCTTTCCACCATTCCTCTCTCTCTTGTATTTGTGCACGTGAGCACCAGCAAGTCATGGGGCATTTCATTGTGTTCTCTGGTGCCCGCAAGAGCCCAGCCAGACAGCATTTTTGATCGTGTTTTTTTTTATGAGGAAACTGAGGCTCAGAGAGTTCAGTGACTTTATCCCAATCTTCCATCTAGGAAGTAGCCAGCAAGAATTCCAACTCGGACCATTCCATAGTAACATTTTACCTTCTCAGTTGTCTCTCCCACACCCCACTGCCTCAGTTTCCTCACCAGTAAGGGAACAGCAGCCAGATCATAGATAGTCCCTGGCTCCGCTCAATCCTGGCTCTGTTCTCTTCGTTCTGTGATCTTAGGTAAATAACTGACTCTCTCTGAGTCTTAGCACCTTCATCAACATAAAGCAAAATACTGAACTGGAAATTTTCTCTCTAGTTCTGAATCTCCCTTCTCCCCAATTCTGGGTTCCTCCGAGGAGTCGCTGCATTCCCTGCGTTTCAAATTGTCTCCTCCCCTTTGTCTTCCTCCTAGAGGTGAACCTGGCAGCTGCGGTGATAGCAGTCCTTGGCCTGGCGGTCCTGGCCCTGGGGTGCCTTTGTATCATCATGGTGCTTAGCAAAGGTGCAGAGTTCCTCCTCCGAATAGGAGCCGCCTGCTTTGGCCTCTCAGGTGAGAATTGAGAGGTTGGAGATGAGGAAACTCCATGCTGGGGGACTGTTGCATGCTGGGAGGTGTGACCTCCAAAGACTGTTGCATGCTGGGAGGTGTGACCTCCAAAGACTGTTGCATGCTGGGAGAAACGACCTCCAAAGACTGTTGCATGCTGGGAGAAACGCCCTCCAAAGACTGTTGCATGCTGGGAGAAACGCCCTCCAAAGACTGTTGCATGCTGGGAGAAACGCCCTCCAAAGACTGTTGCTTGCTGGGGGTTGCAGCAGCCCAGTGTTGTATTAGACTCAGAGATGGGAAAATTCCAAATTCCTGTTGACTAGGAACTGGAAGTCTCCCAACATTGTTTCAGACCACTCTCTATAAGGGATGCTGCATACTGAGAGGGGGCATGTCCAGGCTCTTTCCATGCTGTGAGGCAGGGCCTCCAAGTAGTATTGCATGCTGGGAAGTGGGAGCTTCTGCACTGTTGCACTGTGGGAACAGTGTCTCCAAGCACTGATGCATGCTGAGAGGTGGGATCTCCAAGCTATGTTCCACTATGGGAGGTAGTGTCTCTAAGCCCTCGTGCTTGCTGAGAGTGGGAAGACTCTCAGGGGCTACAGAAGTCTGACGTGCGCCAGTATTATAAGCACTATGGTTGCTGGGATTTAGAGAATCTCCAAACAGCCCTTTAGACTTGGGCCTGGGTCTGCAAGAACTGAGATTCTTAAAGTCGCGGGTCTAAGAAATTACTGACCTTGTGAAATAGAATTCTCGCTGGATCAAATGTTTCCTAAGGTAGATAGAAAGTTCTTTCATTCTTTAGGCTACTCTTATTTCTCCTTTCATGTATTTATTGAGCCGCTACTATGTTCCGGGAATTGTGCTAAGGGTTGTAAATATAAGATCAATAAGACCAAAAAAAAAAAAAATTAGAAAGTACACCATAAACCTTTTTCAATTAGACAAATGGATCCTAAATGAGGCCACAAAATGGCAGTAATAGGGCATAAGATTGTTAAATTTCTAACTAGAAAAAAAAGATAAATGATACTGTATCTGCCTTCACAAGTCTAAATTCTGGCAGAAGTAGGTGGTTCTCGGTGACTGCAGATATAATAACTCAACTTACTGTGATGAGTTCCCGTGGCGCATACAAGGAGCTACAGAGTGATGGTCGGGCTGTCAAGAAGCCCTTCAAACGGGCATTTCAGCTGGCCCTGGAGGGCTGAATGGTCGCTTGGTCATGGCTTGTGGCGCAGTGGCGCAGTGGCTGTGGCCGTATCGGAGGTGCGGCAGCACGTTGGCGGTGGCGGTGGTGGCGGCTCGTGGGGACGCAGCGAGAGACTTGACAAGTTTGGGGGCACAGAGCGGGGCGAGCCTTGCACAGCCGCGCGGGGTGTCGTGAGGCGCAAGCCGGGACGAGACGAGTTCGGGGAGACACAGTGAGTGTTCAGGCACACGGGCATGGGCGCAGCGACGATCTCATTCTCCTCACTGTCACCTTCGAGATCTTCCTAGATATGGGGAAGATTCAGCCGTTCTCTCGTCTCATTCGCCCCCTCACTAGTTTGCTTCATGTCCTGATTCTCCAGACACGTTGCGCTCGACGCGTGGACGTGTGTAGGTGACATGATGCGTGTGTCAAGGCAAAGAGGCGCCTGCCCTCTGGAGGTTATCATCTAGTCGTGGACTTAGAGATGATATAAACGCTAATCCCATAATGTAAACTGCAGTAAAGTTTATGAGGGGTGTAGACTTGTTTGTGTGTAATGAGAGCATTTAAGAGAGGGTTTCCCTGAGAAGGGAAAATTTAGAATGCCAGAGCCTGAGCAACCAAAATCGAAAGCGGTTGGTGAATGGGAGGCCCTGTCACGAAGTCAGCGTGACTCAGATGGCGTCCGGTGGATGCTGGTGTCGGGGTGGACATTGATTGACAGGAGGCTTGGGCCCCAGCGTCTGCAGAACTCTGTGGTCTTGGATGAGTCTTTTGCTTTCTCTGGGCTTAGGTCTTCTCATACCCGTGAATTCACTCACTCACGTGTCCGTTTATCAAGCACCCTCCGTCCCCTTCCCTCTCTCTCCCCTCCATCTGTCCATCTGTCATCCATCCACTTATCCAGCAAGTTTGCCTTTAATATTTACTTAATGGAGGATCTATGCCAGGCACCACTGGGATAGACTGATGGATAAGATAAAGATGGTCCCTGTTCACATGGATTTTATAGCTTGGTGAGAATTTGGTGCTGGTGTTATTGAATTCATGCCTGAGTTATTCTTGGGGATTCCATGAAAGTGTGGATGTAAAAGTGTGTTTTGCAAGTCTCACACATGAAAATGTTCAGCCAATTATACCATCAAAGAAAGTGAGGGGTGGATTTGGTCCATAATTACTATGCTTATATTGGGTATCAGGAACTGGGGTAGGCTGCGTTTTTGTTTCTACCCTAGTTAAAGAAATATGATAAGGTTTTATATTGTGTGTGTGTGTGTGTGTGTGTGTTTGTATGTATTTGTTTGTGTGTGAGACCGAGAGAGAGAGAAAAAAAAGAGAAGAATGTTGTGTTTTGTTTTAGCAGTAAGAGGACAGGCAGATTTCTGGTCCCAAGGATTTGTAATCTAGTGGGGGAGATAGAAATTAAACGAACAATGCTATGTAAATGATTATGTGTTAATAATCACCGTCATTGGCCCTCCCTGGGGGTGTAGCGGGTTAGAACGCTGCGCTGTGAAGCTAAGCCAAGCCATGGCCGCCCCAGCCTGAGTTCCATCCCCGCCCCGGAGCTGACCCCAGGGCGCAGCAGACCTCTCCGGTCTCTCCCGCTGCCCCCTCAGCATTGTACTTTGTCGACCTGTTCTGCTCCGCACCCTGTTTCTGGTGAATCCTCTCGCGGCCCCTGCACCTCTAGCCTGTACCCCATTTCTGTGTGCATAAATATATAAAATCTTAAAAAAAACCAATTACCATCATCTGGGATAAATTCTTTAAATAAAGGAGCTTGAGGCTGGAGACCTGATAGAGGTGTAGAGCCTGCTGGTGGTCAATCTGAAGGCCTAAAAGAAGCCCCACTCTGCGTTGCTGTAGATCGCGAGTAGCTGTTTGAGAGGTTGGTTGAGGCAGGGGCCAGATTGCACGGGGCCCTTACAAAAAGACTTGTTTCTTTACGCATATAGGAGCGAGGGGACAGGCCAGACATGCAGGAGGTGGCCGTGAGAGGACTCCCCAGAGGCCGAGTGGGGAGCAGAACAGGCGGATCCCCTAGGCGGTTGATAAGGGGACTGGCAGGAGAGACCGGGAGGGCTGCTGCACCCTGTGGGTCAGCTCCCTGGCCAGGATGACCCGGGCTGCAACTGCATAGCCCTGAGACTCAAGCCCTCAGCGCCCAGGCAGCCTCGCCATGTGCTCTGAGCGCTCTCTGCTCTCTGCGCACCGCGGCTCCGGCAAGCCCCTGCCAGAACCCCGAGAGGCTTCCGCAGTCTCCTCTCTGCTTCTGCTCCTACCTGTGGCGAATTCTCCACCTTTCGATCACACATCACTCCGGCTCGCCTCAGGTCGAGGCCTCCAAGGGTCTCCGCACGCTGGGGTGAACGCGCTCTGGGTCTCCCCGGCCTGGTCCCCGGCTGCCGTGAGCTTTCGTTTCGTAGCGCTGGCTCCGTGGGGTCGAGCACGGCGGCTTGTGCGCTGTTCTTGGTCTCTCCAAGCTCATCTCCCCCTCACAGCCAAGCCTTGGCCTGGAATGTCCTTCCGCCAGACCTTCCTAAGCCTCATTTCTTCCTGTTGTGTGAGTCTGTGATCAAATGTCACCTCCCAAGAGAGTCACGGCTGCCTGGCTCCGCTCGGCTTGGTCCCACCGTCGTGCTCTAGCCTCTCGCAGGCCGCCTTGTGTTGGTGCCTTTTGATCCCCAAGTTTGCTAAGCATCATTGTTTTAAACGTCATGGCTTAAAATGACGCCGCGAAGTTGGCCATCGTGGCCACTTTTAGGTGTCCACTTTGTGCCTTGGAGCGCTCTCACTGGCGTAGTCTTCGCCGCCCTGTCTGTGTCCAGCGCCCTCATCTGCCGCCTCCCGCCGGCCCTGCTGCTTTTCTGGCTCTGCCTGGGTCCTCCTTCCCCCCTCCGCCCCGCTCT